TAGGGTGCCCAAACTTTTGCACCATGCCATAATAATGTTTTTATTTTTTATTTTTGTTCAATTTATGGCATAAGAAGTAACTATGCATCACTGTTTGCTGAAAATATTGTGCATTTTTTCCATTTCCAAGAGAGACTGTGTTAACATCTTGTCAAATAAAAAAAACACCAAAATCTGTTATTTATCAAGGGGTGCCTAAACTTTTGCATGGGACTGTAAGTTGCAATCTTCTCTCTTTACCAGTGAACTATGATGCCAAGAACCTGCTGCTGCTGGCTGTGTCCCAGGAGGAGCAGCAGAAGTGGGTGAACCGGCTGGTAAAGAAGATTCCCAAGAAACCTCTGCCACCAGAGCAATTTGCACGCTCTTCACCACGCGCTTCCATGAAGGTCCAGCCCAGCCAGTCCTTGAGAAGGCCGAGTCGACAGCTGCCCACCAGCAAGAGCAGGTAGACTTGCAGACAGGAGATCATGTCTGAACAGATTTAGTTTTCCAGACAGGTGTTTACAAAACAAAATCACTACTACATTTGTTGGTGCTGAGAGGCCTGAAAACCCATCTGAAGTAATGTGCCATTATGATCAAGATGGGATACCCAAATGCACTCTTACCACAGTACTGTACTTAGGGATGTAATGATATTTGTAATTTCGTGATATTGTGATACCGTCGTGGAACTGTGATGGCATCTACCAGGATATTACATATGGTTATTTCAGTAGCGTAACTGCGTTCAGGTAATAGAATTTGAAAAAGACATACAGTAGCAAATGAGCTGTTAAGTGGCAACGTTTCAGTTTTCCTGTTTCAAGAAATGACACAGGTAAGGCAAAACAACTTGCAAATACTGCTAGACAAAGGCAATAGTGGTCGCATTTCGAACTGAGACAGTTCTGGATCCACCTGGCAGAAACAGTCAGGACACAGCTATGTGAAGCACTTTAACAGAGATGGGGAAACAAACTAGGTGCGCCTATGCAACCACCCTTAGTCTTTTCTTTTGAAAAAAGTAGACCATGATGTTTAAAAAGCGCCTCCAGTAAAGCAGAAATCTCCTATTTATCTAGCTTTTCCAACTGTATTTTGGCATTGTCTTCTCCTTGTTCTGATGCACAAAGCAGAAATTTGCTTGATACTGCCCCCGGTGGTAGGGGGATATCCACTTCAACTGAGAACCCAACCACTGGTTGATATGGCCACCAAACAGGAAATGTTTCGCCTGTCCAGGGGCTACTAAAACACTGATGTTCCACTGTGAGTGTGACTTGTTTTGTTTATAAAATCCAGCTGCTCCAATAATATATTATTTCATAAGCAGCTGCTGACTGCTGCATTATATATATTTTTTTTTTTTATTTTGTAATTGTACAAACAGTTTAGTCATTCAGTGCTAGTGACAATTCATGTAAAGTTTGTCCACATGCTCAGGTCATGGCTGGCTAATTTTGTTTCAATAAAGAAGGAAGCAGGAGCACTTTAAAAGAAAAATCATAGCAAAAATGCTTATTTGTTATTTGGTAAAGGGTGTATTTTCATCTTTTTTCTTCAATTTTAATATTTTGATAAATATCTTATCATGGACTTTTTACCATGGTGATATCTTAGTGAGTTTTTTGTATTGTAATATCCGTAACTATACTTAATCCTATATTGATACTTTGTATATTGTTCTGGATTGCTATGGTGAGATACCATACCATACCAACTTTATTTATAAAGCACTGAAACAAGCGAGATGGACCAAAGTGCTGTACAGTGTGATTAAAAATAAACAACTTACAAGGACGGATACAATCAACACCAATATCAGACATCAGTCAATACAGATAAAATCAACACAAAAATAAGATATCAATCAATACAGATAAGATCACACCAATAAATAGTATCAAAACGCCAACGAGAATAAATGAGTTTTCATAAGGGACTTAAAAACCGGCAAAGAAGAGGCTTGTCTAAAGGGCAGTGATAAATTATTGCATAATTTGGGAGCAGCAGCCGTAAAGGCACGATCACCTCTAAGCTTGCGCTTTGTTCTGGGCACACTCAAAAGAAACTGATTGGTAGATCTCAGGGAACACGTAGGTGTATGCCGGTGAAGCAAGTCGGATAAATAGGGAGGTTCAAGGCCATGGAGGGATTTAAAAGCAAATAACATTTTGTAGTGGATCCTAAAATGGACAGGTAACCAGTGCAAGGAAGCCAAGACTGGAGAAATGTGTTAATATTACTTGTGCGTGTTAAAAAATGTACCGCAGCGTTTTGGACCATCTGCAGGCGAGTGATAGAAGACTTGCTAATCCCCAGATACAGTGCATTGCAGTAATCTAGTCGGGTGGTGATAAAAGCATGAATCAGTGTCTCAAAGATCCGTCTGGAGACCATTGATTTTACTTTGGCCAACTGCCTTAACTGAAAAAAACTAGATTTTACAACAGCTGCAATTTGGCAATCGAATTTTAGACCGGGCTCCATCTTAACCCCCAGGTTTGAAATATTTTTCTTGTTATATTGAGTTAAAAAGCCCAAGTCAATGGAGGGAGACCCAACAGTATCACCGAACACCATCACCTCAGTCTTCTCTTCATTCAGCTTCAAAAAATTAAGAGCAAGCCAAGATTTAATATCCTCAAAACATTTAAGCAGTGGCCTAACACAAGAATTTGTCTTTGTAACTGGTAAATAGAGCTGGCTAGATATGTACATCCTCTGGTCAGTTTGTGCTTTCAAAGGTTTTCCAACAACTTTTCCATGACAACTTAGAGTTCTGCTTTGCTTTTCTGTGTCATGTAGCATGTAAATTGTCTTGTTTGATTATGTTAGAAATTGGCCATTGTCAGCATTTGGCCACTGTAGGGCAACAGCATTATTGGTCATCCCCTAAGAAAAGCCTACCTACTGCACAACCAGTTACCACAAAGGTGAAAAATGTCCCAGAAACAGTACTGATGTTTCTGAGTTGTTTTTGTCATGTAGGAATGTGAGTAGCTGGTTTTGTTCTGTGTCCATGTTGAGTCTTCATCTGCCCAGGTCCTGTCTCTCAGGACCCCCCCTTTACATAACTCCACAGAGCCTCTTTTTAGCATGGGAATTGTTGCCAATCCTACCCATGACAGGCCTTGATTGTACTTACAGATAAGTCCAGTCATTGTTACCTGGCCATCAAAACTGATCTTCCCTTTCAGATTGGAGGACTTTGGTCTTCAGGACTGGCACTGGGCATTGGATGATATCGATGATGATTGTTCCTCTATTCATTTCTGATGAGCACATATGGTAACACTGTGTGCAGTGTATGTTGTGCAGTGCAGTGATTTTAGTGGCAGTGAAACATACAGTAGTTTCCATGAGGCCTTGGTCCCAAATTGCAGTGACTGTTTTTTTTTCCTTGAAATAAATGAAACACTGAGTGTGATGAGTATTGCTTAAAGAAAGGTCAGTGTTTCAGGGCCTGTTTATTGTCTTCTACCTTGAAAAACATGAGAGCCATACTTTTGTTTTTGGGGTAATAGCTGATCACAGCAACTACTTAAGATTAACTTTGATATTTCTAAAGCTGATGTTCTCTAGTCACATCATCCTGTTAAAAGTCTCAGCCTCGTGACCTTGCATCCTCTGACCTTAGCTCTCGCAGGTCAAATGGCTTCAGAACGAGGGGAGATGATTCCAAGAATGAACACAGGTACAAATGACGACTTACCCTGTGTTGCTCTGCCTTTGCCCAGATGTTTCCCTATAACCAACTCAGTTACTGAAAGTGTGTGTATATTTGTTTCCAACCTGAGTGTCAGTGTGAGGTGGTGGCAGGGCAACGTATACGTAGGTGGTGATTACACATGGTATAATGGACCCAATGCATGTGCCAGTTTGGGGATCTTAATAACTGGGTTCACTTTGCCACTGGGTGTTAGAGATCACTAGCAGGACTAGTGTATATGTGCTTGGTCCACACTCAACTTGATCACTTGATCTTGTCATTTATTTAGTATTGACTTTTGTTGTTGTTTTCATGTAATGAATGAATTAAGGTAACACCACAGATAAATAGGGAGAAACATTTACAAAGGCCAGCGACAGAAAATTAATTTGCAACTCTTCATGTCAGACCCTTTAAATATCCGACTCACCACTCCTGCCATAACACTATTTGGTCATTCTGGACATAAGATGTGGTTGCTGAGACTAACCTTGGATGTGTTTCTCTCTTCTTCCAGTTAACCTTGCTTAAAAGTGTGGTGCATCTTCAAGGTGATGGGGTGTATTTCCTCCTAAATCAAAGACTATTCAAAGCTCTGTTTGCAGATGAGCACACTGAAGTCCACTTCCCCACAACTCACCCTGTCTTGCTTCAGCCTGTGAGAGTTATAAAGTCTATTTTTTTCCCCTTTTATTGTACTTCTTTCCTGGCCACTTGAAGCGGTAATGACTATCAAACTCACCTCAGTGTTCGTCATCTTTTCACCACGCTGGATGATCTGTAAGCATATTAGCACAAGTTTTCTACTGGGCTCTAGATCAAGCCATTGTCTTTGGGGCACTGGACGAGCTCATTCATCCCCCACAGATGAGAAGGGAGGTCTTGGCTGGCAAGAAGGGGATACACTTACCTCAACACTCCTCACCAGGACGCAGATTGAAGGACGCAACAGGAAAACACAGCTTCTTCTCACCGCCTTCTGGGATTTGTGTGGCCAAATTAAAAAGAAAAACACTGTTTAATGATTGTAAACAATATTAGTGATTTAATGGGGAACACTAGAGTCAGAAGATATTAAATTCTGCAATTTGTTGACTGATTACAGCTCAGGATTGTTGAGCCTGTTTCCAGAAACAATATCTGTACTTTGGCTTATTCAACATGTTCTTGAACATTTTCATTCTAGCTTCCTGCTTTCCATTATACTGCATTCAAGTGCACGTCCACATAGGCCATAGAAACTTGAATAAGGTACTTAATCAGGCCTGTTAGTTAAGTCAGTTAGCCAAGTAAGGGACGTCAGAGTCCTCCTGGATTTGAGCAAATACTTGCTCGAGTGCCTCTTATTCAGATTTCTGACTCAGGCGCACTCTGCATCAACCATTTTGTTGTACAGTAACAGGTATAAGTGACCAAAATCCTGCCCTGAATGGCATTAGATGGAGTACCAGACATGAGGACCTCACAATCCCATAATCTTACAAACCTGCACTGTCAGTTCTGAGGGTTAATGTTTACTGAGTCCAAGGGGTGCACCATTAATGCTTTTCTGACCTGAACTCGGCTCCTTTTGTTTGAATGTACGTCTGGGCTTTACCAGACATGACACGTAGGCATTGTATTACTTCTATCCAAATATACTTGACTGAAGTCTCCCTTTCACCATCGACTACTCTGAGTGAATATGCATCTGTTTGCCTTGTCAGGCCTCACACTTGAGTGCTGTCACCCACAGGCTTCCACCGATTTAAAAAAGGGTAGTTTTTAGTCATTCCTAACAATGAAAATGGGGAATATACCAATAAGAAGCAGAAACAGTGAAGGTATACTGTACAATCATATACCGTGAATCAAAACACAGAGCAGCTCTATTCCATTGCAAGTTTTCCTAAAGGTGTTTGTCCTGATATTTTTGTATTAAAAGTAACCAAACTCTGTGTTTGGGCACATTGTTGTATGTGGCTTAGACAAGTGGAGAGTAACGTGCGAGTGTGTGTTTGTGTGTGTGTGTGTGTGTGTGTGTGTGTGTACTTAGTGCTCTCCTTTAACTAAGAAGCATGTTTTATACATATATACACAGTATATATTTTACCTGCCATACAGTGCACATATTATTTATACAGCCTTGTCCACTTTGTATTTAAGGGCTCTAGATCCAGACTGCATGTTTGCTACCAAACAGCTCTATAATAATAATAACCACTTCAACAATAAAAACATGGATGTGGCTTTTGGTATTGAATTATTTCTTAAATGATGACTGAAGCTACGATGCCATAGATATTGCACAACAGCTTTTTGGATATTTTTGATGCATGAAACAAATGAACACAGTGTTAGGTTAAAATTAAGTTGTTGAAATGTTTGGTTTATTAAAATCAGAAAATAAGTTAGTCAAAACAGTATTTATTCTGAATAGGAAGAGATCTGATATACTTGGCTTGTACTGCTAATATTACCATTTTTTCCCCCCACATGTAGTATAAAAAAAAAGCATTGGTCTTCTGTAGCAGATACTGAGTCATTGGAATGTCAAAAATGTGGGGATTTAATATGGAGGTAAACCCAATATAAAAAGCATATTTTATGGGTCAGTATTACAAAAACTGCTGACATAACTGTTGTGGCTTCCACTACTGGCTGTGTCCAAAGTAGCCCAGTAAACTCTGGTGAATGAACTTCCAGATTATATCTATTATGGTCAGCGTGACATCACAGTCAGCTCCAGGATCCAACTTTAATGCTTAGTCTTCTTTCTTGGAGTTGCCGCTGTGCTTCTGGTAGTAAAGCACCGTGAGTACCACCCACAGGTTCAGCAAGGTCATGGCGATGAACCGCACCAGAACTGTGACAAATATGAAAGCAAACATGGCCACTAATGCATAGAATCAAAGGTGATGGTAAACATTTCAGCATGAATAATCGAGGTAGAGTGTCTCCACTGTTGTTATGCTGATTGCTGCTGAAGTGATTGTCATTCTCTACAAACAATCACAAGACATTCCCCTCTCCTGGAGACAATGTAGCTTGTTCAGATTGACAAAGCCAAAATTCTGAAGAAGCAGTGATTTGGACCTGTGCACACTTTTTAACCTACTACACTAGTTTCCTGTTTAATGCATTCATGTGGCCTGCATAATGGCCATTATCAATAACCAGATTCTCAAAATGCCTTTTCTTTTTTCAACAGCCTTTGACTTTCACCTGTCATTCAGACAAGATGTACAGTACAGAGTGCTTTATTAAAAAGTCTAGACATACTTCCCTTTTTTAGTAAAATGTCTCTAGCTAAACAAATAAACTATAGCAAGTTATATTTCACACTGCAAATTAGGTTTTAAAGTTAATTTTCCAAAACAAAATTTTCCTTGAGAGCACAGGAATCAATTTTGTCTATTTAGACTTACGTGGTAGATATTGAGCAACTAGGAGCTGCCTTCATTCCAAAGCACCAGTACAACAAAAAATATCCTTTACTCAAAACTATGATAACAATTAACTTAAACCATTTTTAAAGTCCCTTCTGAAATGTTTAAGAAATCAGTAAAATGTCTTATCTAGGATCCTACACATCCCACAGTCATTTGTAATTCAGTGCGACTTACCCTGCATATCTCTGGTTGTCACTGCAGTGGTGTAAATCCGTGCTGAAACAAAGAGGAAGCCGAGTTAATGACATCCTCATTATCCAACAGTGCATCTAATATTTAATTAATGAAGCATTGAATTGCTAGTTTGATAAATTAGAAGGTAAGTAAACAGTAGGATACATATTAATGATATGAAACATTGCAGTAACTGTACTTCAGGGAGAAGGAAGAACACTCGTGAACTGGTTAAGCATTTCTGAATATATTAGAAATGCTATGAGGGTTAGACAGCTATGAGAATGACATTGGCCTTTATTTGAAAACTGGCGATCAGGACTACTCGGGGTATTTATAAGACATTCATTCTAATGAGATTCAGTTGCACCATAAATGGAATACTTATCCATGACTTTTTATTATCACAGGTTTCAGTCACTGGACAGTGACTACAAGCTGTTTAATTATTTGGCATTGAATAGTCCAATGTAAAGCTGCTATAAACACTGTAATAATTCATCAAATTAGGATGTGTGCATATGAGGGGAGGCTGAACCCACACAAAATTATCACACTACTCTGCAGTTCCTCTAGTCTCAGTAGCTTTTTAGCACTATCAGCTCATTGTTTTGGATTTGTCAACTAAACACCCAGATACACTATATTGCCAAAAGTATTCACCCACCCATCCAAATCATTGAATTCAGGTGTTCCAACCACTTCCATGGTTACAGGTGTATATAATCAAACACCTAGGGATGCAGACCACGTCTACAAACATTTGTGAAAGAATGAGTTGCTCTCAGGAGCTCAGTGAATTCCAGCGTGGTACCATGATAGGATGCCACCTGTGCAATAAGTCCAGTTGTGAAATTTCCTTGCTACTAAATATTCCACAGTCAACTGTTAGTGGTATTATAACAAGGCAAATCAGCCACGAAGTGGTAGGCCACGTACAAACCCGATTCCAAAAAACCGGATGCTGAGACGCATAGCGCACAGAGGTGGCCAACTTTCTGCAGAGTCACTAGCTACAGACCTCCAAACTTCATGTGGCCTTCAGATTAGCTCAAGAACAGTGTGTAGAGAGCTTCCTGTAGATAACATATCAAATGTTGAAAGTGAGACATTTTGAAATGTCATGCCAAATATTGGCTCATCTTGGATTTCATGGGAGCTACACATTCCAAAAACGTTGGGACAAGTAGCAATAAGAGGCCGGAAAAGTTAAATGTACATATAAGGAACAGCTGGAGGACCAATTTGCATCTTATCAGGTCAATTGGCAACATGATTGGGTATAAAAAGAGCCTCTCAGAGTGGCAGTGTCTCTCAGAAGTCAAGATGGGCAGAGGATCACCAATTCCCCCAATGCTGCGGCAAAAAATAGTGGAGCAATATCAGAAAGGAGTTTCTCAGAGAAGAATTGCAAAGAGTGTGAAGTTATCATCATCTACAATGCATAATATCGAATCGAGATTTGAAGTTCTTTTTGGAAAACTGGGACACCATGTCATCCGGACTAAAGAGGACAAGGACAACCCAAGTTGTTATCAGCGCTCGGTTCAGAAGCCTGCATCTCTGATGGTATGGGGTTGCATGAGTGCGTGTGGCATGGGCAGCTTACACATCTGGAAAGGCACCATCAATGCTGAAAGGTATGTCCAAGTTCTAGAACAACATATGCTCCCATCCAGACGTCGTCTCTTTCAGGGAAGACCTTGCATCTTCCAACAGGACAATGCCAGACCACATACTGCATCAATTACAACATCATGGTTGCGTAGAAGAAGGATCCGGGTACTGAAATTGCCAGCCTGCAGTCCAGATCTGTCACCCATAGAAAACATTTGACGCATCATAAAGAGGAAGACGC